TGTTACCTCCCTTTCCTTTTTTTTCTTGTTTTCCCCCTTTGAGACTGGCATCTCTGGGCAGCTCAGGCTGGCCTCGGGCCCTTCCACCCTCCCACCCCAGCCTCTCGGAGCTGACATGAGAGGCCTGCACCCCCTCTTCTGGCTTTTGACTCCCTTTCGGCAGGGGAGGTCGCCGGCACAGAGCGGTAACCTGGGCCTGACCGCAGGTCAGAAGCAGACCCGGAATGCAATTCCAGCTCCGGGGACCCAGGGTCAGGCTGGTATTCGCAGCATCCTGTAACTCTCCCAGACAGCAGGCCCAAGAGTGGACCACACTTCCCATCCACCCCTGCCACCCTACGTGGTACAGAACAAAACACCGCTGTTCCCTGGCAGAGGAGGAAAAGGCCCTGATGCTGCAGGTAGGGTTAGATCGGTGGGGTACAACAGCTGTGGAACTTTCTGGCAGGTTCTCAGAGCCTCGGGCCATGCCACCCAGCAAGTCCACAATTGGTACCTGACCAAGAGAACTGAAAGTAGACATCAAGGCAAAAAGAAACAGCAAAAAGGTAGAGGCAGCCCAAACGCCCATCAAGTGACAAACAGATAAACAAAATAGGAGTTACACACAGCCAGATGGGTGCTGGTGGCTCACACCTGTCATCCTAGCTACACAGGAGATTGAGATCTGAGGATCAAAACTCAAAGCCAGCCCAGGCAGGAAAGTCTATGAGGCTTTTGTAGCCAATAAACCGGCAAAAAAAAAAAAAAGAAGCTAAAACTGGGATGGATGTGACCCAAGTAGTAGATTACCTGCCTAGCAAGTATGAGATCATGAATTCAGTCACTAATACCACCAAAGACAGGAAAAAAGATTGATTCATGAAAAGAACCGCATATGGACCCAGTGCTGGTGATCCATGCCTGTAATCCTAGCTACTCAGGAGGCTGAGATCTAAGGATCATGATTCAAAGCCAACCCAGGCAGGAAAATTCACTAGACTCTTCTCTCCAATTACTCACCAAAAAGCCAAAAGTGGAGCTGTGGCTCAAGTGGTAGAGCCCTAGCCTTGAATAGAAGCTCAGGAACCATGCCCAAACCTTGAGTTCAAGCCTCAGGACTGGCAAAAATGAAGGGGGGCGGGGGAGCAGGCAGACACAAAAGGCTCATGCATCTATAGGAATCCGTACAGAGGAAGAGCAGAAGCTATGCAGGGCTGGGAAAAAGCTGATAGCTACTACAAGGTATCTTTCTAAGGGAAGGCAAATGTTCTTCCATTGTACCACAGGGAGCATAACTGATAAGCCAAACACTGCCGCATTGTTGCTTTTCACGGCTGAATTGAACGCTGTGCGAGTCAGAACCCAGAAGAACAAAAAGTATCATCGCAGTTCACACAAGTGGGGCTTTTGATTGCATTCAGGTGGACCACAGGCAAGTTTCTGTCCTTCAGTTTGGGAGGGAGGCGTATGTGGGGGTTACTTCATAAAAATGTATCCAGCCCATAGTGATCTGAGTTATCACATACGTATACACACACGCATATACACATTCACACACACACACACATACATACATACACATTTGCAGACCAGATTACCCTCAAAGTTACAAGCCTCCTGCCTCAGTCTCCCATACCCAGCTTTCTCAGAGCAATCACAGCAAGCAAGCGCAAGGCCCTGCCATGCGCTGTAATTGGCGTCACCTTTGGAGCTGGCCACAGCTTCTCTCCTTCCATCTGCACCCGGTCCTGGGGGGCAGACGCCCCATCTGTGCCTGAGGAAGGGAAGCTCACATTGCCTCAAACCCCAGAGAGCAAAAGCAGTAGCTGGATTTGAACGTGTGCTGGGTGACATCCCCCTCCAGGCCATAGAAAGTGAGGCCCCCACCCCAGAAGCCATGGCCACTGAGGGTAGAGTATGTCTCAGGAGAGACATACCCCTAGGCTGGAAGATTGATTGTTTTGAGGATTTAAATGTTAACCTCGAGGACCTTCAAGGAGGGGCTCACCAGCCAGAATCTTGCATGGATGCCCTTTTGTCCTGGTACAGAGAGGCTAGGGTCTGATCTGTGACCTGGGGCTCGCTTCCTGGCCTGTGCCTTCTGCCTTCCAGCCAGGCCTGCCCAGGACAGGGAGGAAGGGGAGGCATGCAGAGGTGGGGACCTTGGGGAGTGGGGGTGTCCGTGCTGGGTGTAAGGGAGCCCTCAGCAGCCTCATGCTGCCCTCTGGTGTCAACAGCTGGAATTGTCCTGGAACCGGACCCCAATTCCATCCCACATCTGCCCAAAGCAAGTGGTCTCCCCGCTGCAGCCCCTCAAAGTCCCACAGAAGAGAGCCCATCTCAGTGTCCCCAGAACTGGGACCCCAAATCTATTGTGCAGCCCCAATGCACTCTGGGAAGAAGAGTAAAATAGGGCCCTCAGCCCATCTCTGGGAAGCTGATGAGATCTTTAGGTTTAACTCCCGTCAGCCTGGCACAGAAACTGGGATGGGGTAGATCCCAGAAGCCCAGGCTGGGGATGAGAAGCTTTCAGAGAAGAGACAATGGCTCGGCGTTTGCCCACAAATACAACGCTGTGTCACAGTGCTTTTTAAACAAGACTTCTATGGGTGAACTTGTCAGGATAAGAGTTTGGTGCTGCCCCGCTGCCAGTGGCTCACACCTGTAATCCTAGCTACTCAGGAGGCTGAGATCTGAGGATCACAGTTCCAAGTCACAGCCCAGACAGAAAAGTCCCTGTGAGACTCTTACTTCCAATTAAAGAAGTGGTACTGGGGTTCAAGTGGTAGATCACTAGCCTTGAGCACAGAGAGGCTCAGGGACAGTGTCCAGGCCCTGAACTCAGGACCCACAACTGATCCAAAAAAAAAAGAGGTGCAGCTAGGTGCTGATAACTCACACCTATAATCCCAGCAACTCAAGAGCCTGAGATCCGAGGATCACAGTTTGAAGCCAGACCAGGCAGGAAAGTCTGTGAGACTCTTTATCTCCAGGAAACCCCCTAAACACTGGAAATGGAGCTGTGCCTTAAAGCACTACCACAGGGATAGCGCTCAGGCCCTGAGTTCGAGCCTAGGACCAACAAAAATAAAAATTTAAAAAGTTAGGCGCATTGGCGGCTTGCTCTTTGTTTTCTTGGAATTGCTTTTCTTCGTTGTTGTTGCTTGCTTATTACTGTTATCCTGTCCTAAACATACTTTCATTGTCAGACTGATCCGAATGTGCACAGAAGTTGGGACCATTGGGAAGTGAACAACACACCACCTACCACCGGCAGAGGGTACCTCATTACCCTCCACAGTTGTCTTTCAGAATCTCAAGGGAGGGGCTGGGAAGGTGGCTCAGTGGTAGAGCGCTTGCCTTGCATGCATGAGGCCCTGGGTTCGATTCCTCAGCACCACATAAGCAAAAAGAAAAAAGCCGGAAGTGGCGCTGTGGCTCAAGTGGTAGAGTGCTAGCCTTGAGATGAAGAGCTGAGGGACAGCACCCAGGCCCAGAGTTCAGGGCCCACGACCGGACCAAAAAAAAAGAATCTCAAGGGACTCAGTTCCGGGATTCCCTGAGGACACAGAAATCTTCCATGCTGGAGACCCTTCCATAAGATGTCCTGACCTCACACATCCTTATATTGAAAGCTATTTCATTAAGTCATGTAGATAGTTGTTACACTGTATTGGTTAGAAAATAATGCCAGGAATGACAGTGACCTCCTGTAATTCCAGCATCTGAGAAGCAATTCAGCTCACTATAGAAGCCTGGGGTTGGTGCCATGCGGGGCATTGCAGGGCACAGAGATGTGGTTGCACCTCTCTGTTGCTTTATTGGAGGATCAAAACCAAGGCCTTGCACAAGTCAGGCAAGTGCTCTACCACTGAGCTCAACAGCCAATTCGTGTGTATTTTTTTAAATGTATGTTTATTTTTTTCTATTTTATTGTTGCTATATTGGTGATCTACAGAGGGGGTACAGTTATGTGAGTCAGGTAAAGAGTAGGTTTCTTTTCTTTTCTTTTTTGGGTCCGGTCATGGGGCCTGAACTCTGGGCCTAGACGCTGTCCCTCAGCTCTTCAGCTCAAGGCGAGTGCTCTACCACTTGAGCCACAGCGCCACTTCCGGCTTTTTTCTTTTTGCTTATGTGGTGCTGAGGAATCGAACCCAGAGCCTCAGGCATGCAAGGCAAGTGCTCTACCACTGAGCCACCTTCCCAGCCCCAAGAGTACGTTACTTTTTGGACAATGTCACCCCTTCCCGCACTCTCTCCCAGTTATAGTTTTTACATTTGGAGGGAGGGTCTCACGCATCATTCAGATTGACCTTGAACTTGGTTGTTATTGTTGGTTATTGGCTGGTTAATTAATTCCTTAGGGTTTGACAAATGCACCTGTGGAAGTCGTAGGTCCAGGAAGAAAGTCCATCACCACTCTCCTACCCCCACCCCGGAGAATTGCCTTTGGCTCCTTTGGTGCTGGGACTTGAACAAGAGCTCTCTTAGTTGGCTTGATTGCTCAAGCCTGGTGCTCTACCAGATGAGCCACATCCCCACATCTGGCATTTGGCTGGTTAACTGGAGACAGAGAGGTCTCTCAAATTTATCTGCCTGGTCTGAATTCCAATTACAACCCTCAGATCTCACCCTCCTGAGTTAATAGGATTACAGAAGTGAAGCAGAGACTCCATACCAAGGTTTAAAGTCTGGGCTTTGAAACTTACGGAGCTTGTGTGCTTACCCCTGGAGCTTGATCAGATGAGCAAGGCCTCCAGACCTGATTTTCGCTGGTTGATGAGTCCTTTGGAATTCAGTCCCCAACAACGGCCAGCTCTGGCCTCACTCATCCCTGAGCCTGCCTGGAACTCCTCACCCAGCTCCCGGAGAGCTCCCGGCCGCCAGGGGGCGGTGTGGGAAGAGGAGAAAGACTCCCTGGCACCGGTTCTCCCGGTGAAGTCCAAGGCCGGCCTCACATTCTCCTGCAGGAACCGGAACAAAGCCCAGCCCAGAACACTAACAAGACATCACAATGGTTGGCACCCAGCTGGCCGGCGGCAGGGAGATCTCCTCACACTCCCGCACCTGGGGCCTTCTCTGAGACAAAAAAGTGGGCTTCAAAATGTCCCAGACAAGGATGAGGGACCAAAATGAATCCTCTAACAACTCCAAGAGAGACTCCACCACAGGTGCAGGGGCTGAGCAGGCCGGGGGAGGCGCAGGAAGGAAAAGCGGGTGCTGCTCCACCTGCCTGAACTTGAGCCCCAGCTCCACTGGCTCCTCCCGGGGTTTCCCCAAGGAAAACATGGGGGGCAGGGCCCTCCACACCCCCTGCAGTCCTTTCTTCCCACACCGGGCACCAATCCACGCCACCCAGGCCCGCGTGGGAAGCAGAACTCACGCAGCCAGGGCGGGGGTCTGGGGCCTGGACTGCTCCAGTCTTCTTTCCTTTATTTCATGGAGGTTACTTGGGTGTGGACTCGGGGCTGCTGCTCTGGCTTGAATGGTTTTGGCCCCGGATGGCCTCCACCCACACCCTGTCACCAGCGCCTCCCCTGTGTGTGACTGCATGTCAGGCCGGGGTCATCACGCCCTGCCCGGCCACGTGCAGGCTTTGGTCTCAGGAACCCACGCTGCTCCTCTCCCCTGGTCACGGCAGCAGGGCTGGGCTCTGCTAAGCCTGCTGGGGCTCACCTTGAACTGGCAGCCAGCAGCTGGGGCCAGGGCTTCCCGTCTGGCCTGGGTTTCCTTCCCCTGGGAGGTGGACCTGGGCTGCAGGGCCCACATGGCTAAGGCATTCTCCTGCCCCAGAGCCCACGCTGGGGGAGGCGGACATGGGGGAGCATCCTCTGTGCTAACCCCACCCTGCAGGATGCATAGAGCACCTACAAGGCCAGAAGCCACCAGCTGCTCTCCTGGCACAGGCAGGAGGAGGAGGTGCAGAGGAAGCCCAGGGTCCTGTCAGGCGCCCCCCGTGGCTCACCACACTAACACACCTCCTCCTCCTCCTTCTGGAAGGCTGGAACTACAGGTGTGAGCCACGGTGCCCAGACCCTCACCTTGTTTACTAGGGGACCTCAGTAAGTTACTGAGCCTAGTTTGCACACCTGGAAGAGTGGGATAACACTTGTCTGGGGCTAGGTGTGGTGCGCCTGTCACCCCGGCGTTCAGGATGCTGGGGCACGGAGGAAGGTGAAGACAGGTGGGCATGGCTGGACTCAGATGTGCCCAGGGGGAATCCAGCTGCTCCGCCCCTTGGCTCCTCCCTCTGGCCTGGCTGTCTCCTGTGGGAACTCCTGACCCCTCTGCAGGCGCCCCCAGGCATCTCCGTGGCCTCCCCCCACCACCCTCAGACCTGAGGGGCTTCTCTTTCCTCTCTCCTCTAGGGTCTCAGTCTTCAAAAGGCTCAAAACATAGAAAGGAAGACAAACACAAATGCGTCGATGGCCCCTATTTCTGTCCCCCAAGTAAGTGTCTAGCTGTGGCCCCGGTCTCTCCTTGCCTCGTGTCTCCTGCTTGGGTTACCAGAGCTTCTTCCCAGATCTCGGGACAAGCCTCAGCAGGCAGCACCCACTCTGGAGAGCCCCACCGTCCCTGCTCCGGCCCACAGCTGGCGGGGATTCCCCATTGCTGCTGTAGGCTCCCCTACTACAGCAGCACCTCGGTCTTTGCTCCCCAAGGCAATGGAGGATGGGAGATGCATACACTAGGTGCTCAGGAATGCTGATCTAGTGACCCCCCTGCAAGCACACTGCCCTGTGCCCCACACCGGAGGGGAACACACAGCCCCTGGTGGGACCTGAGATTTGGGGGTTCTCAGCAGGCTTGCCAAGGGATTCTCAGGCACTCTGAGAACTGCCTGGCCGCACTGGATATTGGTCAGCTGCCCAAACCACTACAAAGTTACTGAGGCACTTAACTTACCAGGAGGAAGGTTTATTTTGGCTTCCAATTCTGGGGGTTCAAGTCCAAGACCCAGCAGCCCCTCTTGCTTTGGGCTTCTTGGGAGCAGCAGACTCTGCTCCCACATTCTGTTCATGGCCACTCCCCCAGTGACCTAAGCAGCTCCCACAAAGATCTACATCCTGAGCACTGAGACTCCATTGGCTCCCAGTCCCTCCATGGTCACGCCCCCAATGACCTAATCACCTCCCACAAAGATCCACATCCTGAAACCCAGCACCTCCCAACAGCACTTTCATGAGGACCAGGCCTCTATCCCATGGACCCTGGGAACTCTAAGCTCAGCCCCAGGGGGAGGCAAACTCCCAGAGGGCAGCCTCCATGACACAGCCCTCTCCACATGCTGGAAAGGGCCTCAGAACTCCCTCCTGCTGCTCACCTTAGCTCCCCATCAAATGGGGACATTGTTCCCTCCAACTCTCAGGGCTCCCCTCTCTCTGCACCTCACACCCAACTCTAAAGGATTCACCCGGCCCATGCCTGAAGCGGGTGGGTCGGAACACTCAAAAGTGCATGGAAATTGCTGGTGTTGGGTTTTCTGGGACAGCCCCAGATCTGACACACTGGCTGAGCCACACTCCAGCCTGGGTAGGGTATTTCACTGGAGGACTTGGAGACAGCCTCTTGCTCCCTGAATGAGCCAAACAAGGGAGGGTCTGCCCTGCGCTAGGCTGTGCAGGGTCCTCCGTGAGCATCCTGGTCCCTGTGCCTGGATCCTGTCCTCACCTTGGCCTGGGGTCTGGACCGGGGAAGTCCCTGAGGCTGATAGAATGGGGGGATGTGGGGACCCATGTAGTTGGCCTTGGGAACTACGTGCGGATGTGGGAGCAGTCATGCTCTCGTGCACCGGGGCTGGTGGGAGGTGGGGATCCAGCATGGACTGTAGGGTGTGGGAAGGCATTCTTCTGGAGTGGACAGGCTAGGGCAGGGGACTTAGGGGACCCGGTCTAAACCCCCTCCCTCCCCTCAGGTCTGTATGGTGGCCTGCGGAAGGTGATGATCTGCATACCCACGCAGGTGGTCTGTCCTTACTGTGGGAACTACGTGGTCACCGTGGCCACGCCCGTCCCAGGACTGCTCTCTTGGGTGCTGTGTTCTGGCATCATTGTGCTTGCGTGAGTGGCCGGGCCTCGGGACCCGCAGAAGCCCTGAGCACCTGGGGAGGGAGCCCTGCCGGGCGGTGGGGGGGGTGCTGGCCTTCAGCCTCAGATGCTTGAGGGCGCATGTACAGAAGAGAAGCAGCACCGTGCTCGGTCCGCCCTACCGTCCTCGAAGGAGGCGGCGCTGTACCTCCTGTCGGGTGCCGCCAGTCAGGATGACAAGGTTCAGCCCAGGGTGGTTGGGAGATGGCGGGAGCCCCGTGCTTATGTGTAGGGACCGCAGAGGTGGGCGAGGTGCAGTTGGAGAGACAATGGCCTCTTCTCACATCTGGATTCGCCCTGGGGCGGGGGCGGCTGCAGGTGTTTCCTGGGTTGCTGCTTTCTCCCGTGTTGCAAGTCGAGCCCCGTGGAGGTGAGCCACTCGTGTCCTGTGTGCGACAAGGAGATCTTCCGCTGCCAGTAGCTGTGATCTCAGAGAAATAAATATCACTGAAGCCCCCTCGGTGTGCTGTGTGCTGCCCGCCAGCCCGCCAGGGGCGAAGAAGACACACCAGTCCCGGCCCCTGCTCGCCCTCTGCCTGCTTCCCTCCGAGGCCCTGGGACGCCGTGCGGGCACATTTGTGGGAGAAAGGAGTCAGGAGGCTTGGCTACAGAGGCCTGCCTCCCTGCGGCCCAGTCTCCCGCCTCCTTCCGCTCACCCCAGGCCTCAGCCTCTCCAGAAAACCTGTCTCATCTGCTCCCTGGGCCTGGCCCACACTCAGCTTCCACCCCACATCCAGCCTCATCACCTCCCGCCTTCCCTCTCCCATCGCACCTCCATTGCTAGATCCAACAGGGCAGCGGGTATTTCCCCTCTTTCCCGCCTACCTGTATCCTGGGAAGCCTGCACATCCATCTTTCCTTGGGCCTCAGCCTTCCCATTACCACCTCCTGGTGGTTGTGGGGCTTGCTTGGACTCTGGGCCTGGGCGCTGTCCCTGTGCTCTTCAGCTCAAGGTGAGTGCTCTACCACTTGAGCTACAGCGCCACTTCCAGTTTTCTGGAGGTTCATTGGAGGTAAGTGTCTCATGGAGGCTCCTGCCCGGGCTGGCTTTGAACCATGATCCTCAGATCTCAGCCTCCTGAGTAGCTAGGATGACAGGCACCTGGCTTTCTGGGTGAACTTCCATGGCTTCCCTGGCCGCCTTGGGGCTCTGGCCCGGCCACTTCTCCCAGTGACCCAGAGGCTTCAGCCTTCAGCTCCAGCACCTCACAGCCAGATGCTCTGGCACAGGAAACCCCTCAATACTATGATGTCTCCCTCTTTCCTCCTTTTGCAGAGGCTACCTCTCCTGCCTCCCCAGGGCCCCTCTGGCTGGCCCCTCTCTCCACTACCCCCCACTGGCAGCCTCAGCTCTTTCTCGAGCCCCTGTTAGTTTCTTGAGCCTCTCTCCGAGCCTGGCACCCTTAGGAGCCGGCAGGAATGGGGAATGCTTTGGGGTACTGGGTCTGCCCAAGTCCCCTGGGTCATCCATGTTTGATGCCTGTGTATCCTTCAGAGGACAGACTTCCTGTGTGCAGGAAGGATGAAGGCACACAGATCTATGAAACGCTTGAGTGAGGAGCAATTGACACCCACCAGGGCAGGAAGAAGTGTGGGGTAAAGGGAAAGCCATTGTCAAACTAGCATATATTCATCCGCCATTGTTTTATCTACGCTGCATTTCAGAGGAGGGGAGGAAGAGTGATTGGGTTGGAGTTAGGAGGGATGGTTCATGTGTGTAGTTTCAGCTACTCAAGAGGAAGAGGCGGAAGGATCTTGAAGTCAGCCCTGGGCAAAGTCGGTGAGACCGAATCTCAAAAAGCAAAATAAGGGTCAGGTGCTGGTGGCTCACACCTGTCATCCTAGCTACTCAGGAGGCTGAGATCTGAGGATCGCAGTTCAAAGCCAGCCTGGGCAGGAAAGTCCATGGGACTCTTATCTCCAGTGAAACACCAGAAGTGGTACTGTAACCCAGAGTGGTTGAGCGCTAGCCTGGAGCAGACAAGCTCAGGAATAGTCCTCAGGCCCTGAATTCAAGCTCCAAAAAAGACCAAAAAAGAAAAAAGGAGACCCCCCATCTCAAAAATAACTAAAGCCAAAAGGGCTGGAGGTGCAGCCCAAGTGGTAGAGTACTTGACCAGCGATTGAACACTGTGTTCAAACCCCAGTACCACAAACACGACGACAGTCCCATGACAGCAACACATGATCTGCGCCACACAGTTCAGGCAGGGAGAAGCCACCCTAGGAATGGAAAGACCTGGGGATCCGGCTGCTTCTACCCCTTTGTATGCAGCAATGAAACGAAGTCACTTTCTGCCAGTTATGCTCTCTTTTGCAGTGGGGACATTTTTTTTTCCAGTTCTGGGGTTTGCACTTGGGGCCTGGGCACTGTCCCTGAGCTTTTTTGCTCAAGGCTAGCACTCTACCACTGGAGCCACAGCTCCACTTCTGGCTTTTTCTAGGCATGTGGTACTGAGGACTCGAACCCAGGGCTTCATGCATGCTAGACGCGCACTCTTACCCCTGAGCCACCTTCCCAGCCCTGCAGTGGGGACAATGGAAGGAGTTGGGACATTCTTCATCCTAGTCATCCTCCTCTCCCCGGTGCAGGGGGGGCAGGGGGAAAAGAGGAGCCCCAGGAATGAGCAATCACCCCTGTACAATGCCGGAAGCCAGGAGGAGATGACAGGATGGGGACTCTGGAGGGAGAAGCAGGGGGGCTCCAGGCTGGGCAGAACACAGGGAGCTCGGAACCCTGTTGTGAGAAGATATCTCACACTGCTGCTTGCTGGGAGGTGGCTGGAGGGGAGGGGGGTCGGAGGAAGAGGAGGGAGCTGTACAGGAGAAAAAACCCTACAGAGGCAAAGGCCCTGGGGTAGGGCTAGCCCCAAGTTCTGCCCCTCTAGATGGATCCTGGGGAGGGAGCCATGTTTTCTGGGGGTGCAGGTGTCACCCTAAATTGCCTGGTGGGTGGGAGGTGGCACAGGTTCCAATCCAGGCACTGCTTTTGCGCTCTGTGGTTGGAGGCAAGGCGAGGCTCCTTTCTCCGGCTTCGCTGCTGCTCTGGGGCCGCTTCAGCCACGGCCACCCCAAAGCCGGCTGAGGCCAAGGCATGGCATGTGGGGGGCTTTACTTGCCACGTGGCTGATGCCTGCAGTAGTGGGATTTGGCTCTGTGTCCTCAGAGAGCGCTCTACCACTGGAGCCACAGCGCCACTTCCGGTTTTCTGGTGGTTCACTGGAGATCAGATTCTCACGGACTTTCCTGCCCCGGCTGGCTTTGAACCATGACCCTTAGATCTCAGCCTCCTGAGTAGCTAGGATGACAGGCGTGAGCCACTGGTGCACAGCCAGAGTTTATGCTTTAAAGATGCGGAGACTGCACGGCGGTTATGGTTGGTACAATGGCCTAGCTCTCTCACTAAAGACCTTCCTTCCCTAGGAGGCTGGTCAGGCAGCTAGGGGTGACGGATGAGGCATCTGCTCCTGGCGGGTGGCACATTGCTAACCAGGGCCCATGGAGGGCAGCAAGTTCAGGGGCACGATCCATCCGTGGCTGCCCCCTGGTCTCACGGCTGGATCTGGGGGGGCAAAGTTCACAGCAGGCTTTCACCCGTGGTGAAACACAGAACACAGACCTAGGAGACCCCGGCCTGCCGTAAGCTTCACCTTGGCACTCAGGCCAAACCTGCCCACCTTTAAGTCCTGAGGATGAGGCCCAATGCCCACTTGTGTCATCCACCCTTCCTGGGCAAGAGGGAGTAAACTGACTGACCTGGGGCATGCTACAGACATCACAGGGCTCCCTGCCTGGGGTCGGGAGTCTCACCGTGCATGGGGCTGGAGATGTCTGAAGATCCTGCTCCACCTGAGCTGAACACAACAGGCAGGGCTAGAAGGCGTGGTGTGCTGGGTGGGCGTGGCCTGTGCTGAGGCTGTGTGCAGTGATAAGGCCCACCCTGAGCCCTGGCTCTGGCCTCCTAGCAGGGAGTATGGGACAGTAGCTAGGCACCCTGCTTCAAGGCAGTGAGCAGGCGGGCACCGAATGCAGCATCTCCCATAGGGCCCACTCCAGCCTGGCGGAGGGCCCGTGCCATAGCCAGCATCTTGAGTCTGCCCACCTCACCTCCCGTTTCCCTGGGCTCCTCCAGTGTGATGTGAACTTGCTGGGCACAGCTGGCAAGACTGGCACATTCTCTGGACCTGCAGACTTCCTGGCGCCGCCTGTCAGGGCAGCCGGGTTTGGGGCCCCTGGAGAAGCAGTTCTTGAGAGTGGGGCACCACGTCCCACTTGGAGAAAGAGGCATAGGAGGACGCCATGACCCCGCACACCCAGGCCTGGCTGCTCTGTTCAGAGCAGGGACTAAAGGGGAGGGCTACTTGTGGTGCTCAGGCCTTCACAGCCACCGGCCTGCGGGGTTCTCCAAACCAAGATGGGAAAATCTGGTTCTTCAAATCCTTTCCAAGAGCCAGGCGCTGGTGACTCACGCCTGCAATCCTAGGCGTGAGATCTGGGGATCATGGTTCAAAGCCAGCCCGGGCAGGAAAGTCTGTGAGACTCTCACCTCCAATGAACCACCAGAGAACCGGAAGTGGCGCTGTGGCTCAAGTGGTAGGGCGCTCGCCTTGAGCTGAAGGGCTGAGGGACAGCGCCCCCGCCCAGAGTTCAAGCCCCACGACAGACAAAAAAAAAAATTCTTTCCAAGAGATGACAAGTGGCATTGGAAACAACTCTGGGCAGGGTCCGCCAGCTCTCTAGGATGTGGGGATCAGAAAGGACAGCGGGCAGGATGCTGCACTCACACCACAAAGCTGGCCGCCTTGAAGAATGGCTTCTACCTCCCGGTCATCGCACTCCACTTCAGGAACTCGCCCGGCTCCTGGTGGGAGCCCCCATTTTCAGTCCTAAAGATGTTGTTTTCAAGTCTTCCACTACATGGGGTGGGGGATCCTAGAGGTACAGCCATCCGGGGCCTCCGTCTGGAGAAGTCTGTCCTGCTGCTCATCCTCCTGCTCCTGAGACATGAGAGTCTTCCCAATGCACTCAGAGCGGGTCTGGCTGTACGACTGTCTTGCAGGGACCTTCCAAAGGCCATTCCATGCTCCTACCCCATCAGGCCTTTTGGCCCTACACAGACAAACTTCCACTTCCACATCTTTCTTTTCCTTTCGGCTGTCATGGGGCTTGAACTCTGGGCCTGGGCGCTGTCCCTGAGCTCTTCAACTCAAAGTGAGCACTCTACCACTTGAGCTACAGTGCCACTTCCGGTTTTCTGGTGGTTCATTGGAGATAAGAGTCTCATGGGCTTTCCTGCCCAGGCTGGCTTTGAACCATGATCCTCAGATCTCAGCCTCCTGAATAGCTAGGATTACAGGCCTGAGCCACTGGTGTCGAGCCACATCTTTCTTTCTCTTTCTTTCTTTCTTTTTCTTTCTTTCT